AGCAGCTAGCAAGTCTGCAGCTGGTTCTTTTGATTCCTCCAGTTATTCTCGAAGTTCATCATCATCGTCATCTTCATTTTCTTACTCTAGCAAGTCGGCATCTGCAGTACCAGGAGCTGGCAAAGGCTTCAGCTCGAGTAGTTCGTCATTCTCATCGATGTCAACCTCAAACCCAAGCAGTTTGTCATCTGGTTATACCATTAAAACGACAAAAATGGTTAAGAGCCTTAGTGGCGGAGCGGAAGTTTCAGGTAATACAAGTTTTTTGTTTTGAAAAGCAGTATTTAAATAAATGCTTTATCAATTACTTCTTTATCTATTTTTGCTCACTTTCACTTTACTAAATAGTAAAAAACTGGTAAAATTTGTTTCAGGTGTTCACAGTTCTGAAGGGTATTCTTCTGGATCGCGTTCGGACGGAATATATGGACCCGGTTCTTCCGGAAATTCAGGCTCAGAAGTAAACGAGGTTACTGAAGGAGGAAGTACAGTGACTGTGAAAAAAACGATTGCCTCTTCACCAACGCTTGTAACTAAAGTTGAAACGCACACTACCACAACAAGTCATTGATCGCGTAATAGTTTCGCAGACGAGCGCTAGTAAATTATTGCAATTGATGGTTATAATATTTTATTTTTAAATTATTAAGCAGTTTTCCTCTAAACCACTGTTTTTGTACAAAGTTAATATTTTAAATTCTGACTTTAAATTGCGTTTTTATAGCCTGTTAAATTAAAAGTGCAATACTGATACGCATCATAATATTTTTTTTTTCTGTAAAATTTTAAAAGATTTAGGATATAAAGAAAAATGACTTGTCTATACGAAATTGTGCCAAAATCACTTTGATATAAAGATGACTTTTTTTACTGATTTAGTGTGCAAGTTTTTTTTTTGTTTCTGTACAAATAATTCTCTGAATTGACAAAGAAGAAAAAAAGAAAAGATTCTCAGCCAAAGAACAAAATTAGTTACAAAGCACTCACTGACTATAGCGTCACTGCTGCAGTCCGTCCTCTCAAAACTAAAATTCTTCTAAAATACATAATCGCTTTTTTAATACATTTTTTCAAAAACGAAATCTCGCCAAGCAGGAGTAGTGATTGGAAATTGGAAGGTCTAATTACCATGCACTAGGAAGAAGCACTGCAGGAGTAGAACAGTCTCACCTATGTTTAAATGGTTTTTTGACTGATACTTTCTTCCGTTCGAACAGAAAAGGTTCTTTTTGAAGTCACAGGAGCTGTGGTAACACATTGTCGTTATTTCTCCAGTGTATCTACTTTTCCTCTTTGTTCTTTCTTCTTTGTTTTATTTTTTTAAGGAATGATTGATGAAGTTTTCTAAAAAATTTTTTTTGGTCTGACACTGGACAGGAAAGTTCAGCAACAATTTGTTGGAAGACTGTGGAAACGTGACCTAGTGGTTCATTTTCTGATTTTTTTTAAGAAAAATTCGATGTATACAGTGTTACAAAGGTCGTAAATGAATGAAAGGGAGAAAAATGTGTTGAGTACAAGTGAACGTTGTCGGTTAACTGTACAAGTTGGCATAATAGAGTTCTATTTATTTAAAAGTTTTTACTTACAGTCTAAATGCTGTAAGTCCTGCTAGTTATTTTTAAGGCAATAACGTTTTTTTGCTAATCAAGCTATTTTACTTAACGAAGTAGTGCAAAATCAACTTTATTAGCTCAAACTTGATTTTTGTTCTTAGCTATTGGATGCGGTTTATCAATTTATTTCGTCGTATTTAAAAAAATTTCTTTTTTGCATGAAAA